ACACGGCCAAGGCAACAAAGGATTGGCTCAAGAAGAAGCATATTAAGGTCATGGAGTGGCCTAGTCAGTCTCCAGACCTTAATCCCATAGAAAATCTGTGGAGGGAGCTGAAGGTTCGAGTTGCCAAACATCAGCCACGAAACATTAATGACTTGGAGAGGATCTGCAAAGAGAAGTGGGTCAAAATCCCCCTGAGATGTGTGCAAACCTTGTGGCCAACAACAAGAAACGTCTGACCTCTGTGATTGCCAACAAAGGTTTTGCCACCAAGTACTAAAGCACGTTTTGCAAAGAGATCAAATACTTATTTCATTCATAAAAACGCAAATTAATGTATAACTTTTTTTGTAATGCATTTTTCTGGATTTTTTTTTTTGTTATTGTTGTGTCTCTCACTGTTCACATAAACCTACCATTGACATTGTAGACTTATCATTTCTTTGTTAGTGGGCAAACATACAAAATCAGCTGGGGTTCAAATAATTTTTTCCCTGACTGTAGTTTAGAGCATGAAGCTGCACAGTTGTGATACCTGTTGTATAGGCTGTATTGCAGCTGCACACTCCATCGCCTTTAATCTCTAACTTAATTTATGTTTAATTAAAGTTAGTCACAGTGTATAGTCCAGTGTCTTCCTTCAACAACCCTAAAGATGGGTTCATTATAAAGTGCCATTTTTATACACTTTCTGGACTGCTGCTGCATTGCTGCAAACTCTGAAGATGAATTGTTCTCAAAGTTCTTGTATTAATGTAGAGTAGATGCAGATTAAAACTTTTTTCTGTCTGAAACTTTTATAGTCCTGTAATAAATTACTGCAGCTATGATGTTAAAGTTAAGTATGACACTTCACATTAGCATCATAATACACAGTGAAGCATGGTCAAACGGGGAGCCAGCAGAGTCAACTTCAATAATTTAACACCGTGCTCTGTCACTGCCATACTAAGTCTATTTTAGGCTGTGGTCAGAGCACTGCTCACAGTCAAAAGGAAACGGGCCGAGTGCATGAAAAGAGAGGAAGAAAACAAGCGACTGACAGGAGCCAGATCAAAGCGAGCGACACTCAGCAAACCGAGGTGTGCATCAGGCGAGGAGCGTGAGCAGCATCTCTGCTGCCCCTTCAGACTGAGACATTTTCACAGCATTTAAAGACCAATCACATTAAAAATACATGCAAAGTTGTTTTGGTGTGCAAGCCTCATAAAAGTTTGAAATCAAAAGAACTGCCTCTTAACATACAATGCAGCAAGAATAACACAACAGCATATACAGAGGTTTCACTAATATGCTGATCAAAATGAATCCCTTTACAAGAAGGCTCTTTGCTTTCTGTGTACAGTCTGGCAAAGGGTTAATATGCTTTGGCCTCACTTCTACTTGACTGATGCTTTAATGGGCAGCCACAATGGGAATTGAATCCTTAACCCTTCTTTTGAAGCTATTAAGATACAGCACAGCTCTTTGCAGGAGCACAACGCACAAAAAAGAGTGGAGATTAACGGAAGTAATGCAATAAAGATTTTTACCCCTCCAGTCTGTATTTGGCAGAGGCATGTGCTCTGTGTTAATGGTTATTACAATATCAAGCAGTAGGTCAGGTTAAACAAAGGTAGACGAAGGCACATGGTGAATCAAATATTTACTATGGATTTGATTTATTTGAGTGTGAACTTGTGTGCACATGCACACAGATGGGTGATGCTTATTTTCTGCATCTGTCACCACATATACATTTCATTCAAACGTGTGAAATTTATTCTCAAAACCTTTGTACTGTATTCCCGTTGACATGTCTGACAGTGAACAGATAGTTGAAGTTGAGATGATGGCCAGTATGTTTGCTTGGCATCTCTTCATAACACTCTGTTTTTTTCATGTTAATTCAAATTCGGCTGTGTTAGAGCATAAGAACGTTAGATATGGATGAGCTACAAGTAATCCCTGCCCTAAAAATTAACCATTATATAGAGGCTGAGGGATGCTGCTAGAGGATGTGGGCAGCATGTCAGTACAGTATGTGGGTCACTTCCAGCTCTGGTTTGACTTATTATGAATGCTTATCAAAGAAACTGACAGACACTGTTCCCTGGCCTCTGGCCATGGAGCTCTGTGCTTCATGAAGGGACACACTGACTTTTCTCTGTATCTGTATTACTATAGCTGCAGTAATTCAAAAACACATCGAACTGTGGCATTTACAGATTTAGTTATAATATGGTGGTTTTCACTTATTTTTGAAAGTTTGACACACATGTTAAGAAAAGTGCATTCACCACCCCAAAAACATGCTAATAAAGTAAAAAGATTTGAAGCTCCACAAAAATGTACATTGTGTGTGCTCTGAAAGCGAATCAGATAATTGGATACATTGTTGAAATGTGCTGCCACTGGATTTCTCAGATCTGCAGGTGTCATATTAGAACTGTCCTCACTAATCTGTGTACGTAAAGGACAAGAAGCGTTGCCAGCATAGGTGTGTCGAAATGTCGTCGGTGTGGTAGCTTGGCCTGAACAAAAATAATCAGTACGGAGGTTATAATCTTTTTACTCTGCTTTTATTTAAAGTTATTCATGTTGTTTTCTGAAGATTCAAACAGTCTATCTGTGGTCTTTTCAGAAGTTTGTATGTTTGTGTTTATGTTGTGATGACCAGTGCCACGGTCAATCGAGTACCCGTCCTGGGACTGGAGGGAGAGCAGGGACTTTGACGAGCTCAGCCACATTTTACAGGAGAGCAAGAAGCTGGGCAAGGCCCTGGAGAGCCTGTCACGCAGTGAGTGGCTGCATCCTGGCAGACTGCATGCTCACACCATACTCAGCAGCGTTTAGTACATCCAAACACATAGACCATTCTGTAAATGTTGGTGTAAATCCTGAGAATAAAGCAGATTGGGCAGCTAATTTTACAGACTTGCCACTAAGATCAGAAGCAGTGTAAGCTGGGATTTTGAACTGTATTAGATTCTTCTCTGTGCTTTTAAACCATTTTATTGTTTGTGCAGGCATCGCCATCTCTGATGAGCTCGACCAGGTAGATACTATCTAGACTGGAGTCTTTGTCCATCTCATATATATACACTAACATTAGGTGGAAATAGTTCACTCACTCATCACTGCAGCATCGCTCATACTGCATCAAATCAAGCCATATTTCATAACATCTACTTGGTAGACAGAGCAGCACAGCTCCTTGTCTGATGATGAACTGCTGCCTCATGGGAGTGATATGTGACAGTGATTCTTCAGTGAGCATGTTCTCCATCTCCCTTTCCCTTGCTGCTTCACTGTGCACCTTACTCACAAAGCTTTGTCTGAGCTCTGTCTTTGTCCTTGCATGGCCCAAATTCTCCTCCAACACAATAGTTTAGTGGCTGCCCAGACTGGGAGTGTACACAGGGACTTGGAAGCGACTTGGTCCAGATGAGACACACTGCCTGTGTCTTGACAGGGGTTTCACTTTTTTACTCAGTGCAGCAGTACATGTCCAGTGTCCTTGGCTCTCAGCCCAGAGATTTTCCTTCTATTCTGCAGGATGGGACGAGGACGAAATACTAAATTCCTGCTCTGATCATGCAGAGAAAATAGAATCCTGGATTTAGTCAAAGACAAGCAGACATATCTTTGGCTTTTGTTTTGAGCAGGGTAGTAAATGTGTGCTAGCCAGCTTTGGGATCAGAATGGGAGAGAGAGAGAGAGATCTCAAACAATGGTGCGCTTCTTATCTAAACTCGGTTGTTTTCCTAAGAATAAACACAATTATTTTTGTGAATAACACAGTCCTCCTGATAACTTCATGCTGGAGTGTTTCCCTTAGATGTGAATGTACATAGTGTTGTCTTAGATTTAGTTTGTTTAAGTTTGTTTTTTAGCACCGCTTTGATTCCACTTGCCTTCTCTTGCACTTTCCTCATTTATATCTGTTTTCAAGTTGGTTGTTTTGCCTTGTTTGACTTATTCTTTCTCTATTGCTCTTTTAGAGCTTGGGAGGCTTTAATTCAGTGCTGCGTCCTCGGGTGGTGGGGGAGTGGATTGGACGTGAGGAAGAGGATGCAGACCCTCTGGCTGCAGAGATGCTGCATCCCCCAGTCCCTCGGGCCAAAACTGAAGTGTGTTGGAGCGGAGTCAACAGTCCTGCTGGGAGGTTAGTGATACTGTACATTTGTGCGGTTATATGTGTGTGAATCATCTAAATAAAATAAAAAAACGTTTCAAACTTCTCAAAGCTATTGTTGGCTCTTTAAAAATGAGTAGACAGACTTCTGAGTGTGGCTCCTGCTGCCTGAGGAATGCCCATCTCAATGAGCTTGATAATCCCATTTCAAAGGCACCATCAAACATGCTTACCATGATACTGCTTCAACCCAATTTTGAATTAATGCTAACCTCATTTCTGTGTGCTCGAGGCCCAAGACATTTTGTGCTAATTTTAAAAATGGCCTGTCTTTAACAATATAACTGCATTGTGTATTAAAGTGCTTAATTTCTCACTCCTTACAAATCGTTTTTGAAGTAATGTGTTTTGCAAAACTATCCACTTTCCAAATATCATGGCAGCAACATTTTGGACTTTCCGGTCAGATGTTACTATTGCTGTGTACGTGTAATTTACTGTACTGTAATGTGTGTGTGTGTGTGCACTGCTGCTGCTGATGTTACTAATTAGAGGAGGATCAGATATATAACCATAAATCATGTACAGGTCTGAGCTGACATATGCACATCATTAATCTCATTAGGTTACTATATGGGTGGATTATAGGGGAGAAATCAGTTAGTTAGAAGCCTGAGTTGGGGATAAGGATGTGTATTGGTGTGTGTGTGTGTGTGTGAGAGAGAGAGAGAGAGATGTTTGTGTTTGCCTATGCAGAGTGTGAGCAACTTGTGCAGCTGTGTGTTTGGGATGGTGTAGCATCATCCCAAAAATAATCACAGCTTCTTCTCTCATTAACGGGAGGAGTTCTTGGCTCAACTCTTAATTGCATTTACTTGGAACTTTCTGCCATTTCCGTCTGAGGATTGAGATCACTCTGTCCTCTGAGCTGTTTTCTAGCAAAGTCGAAAAGAGGGAGCGCAGGAAAAAAATGTCATTTTTCTGTTTATGGTTATAGTATGGTGTAAGACACACAGCTAACAGCTTTTAAGATCAAATTACTGTAACTATGGGATTTGGTTAAGTGTCAGCGAAGCTAAAAATGATCACTCAGAGCAAGTGGAAAACTGGTAAAAACCACTACTGCCCTCTCTTCATCTGAGGCTTAGTAGGCCGTTCCCCTTGGTGCTTACACAAACTCGATTCCTCACATTTTCTCATGTACTGTATCTGACCCTAATTTGTCAAACCAGCTCATTCTTCTTACTTTGGTAAGTTTACTTACTTTCTTTTTAAATCTTCCCATCCCTCATTCCAGCCCACCTGTCACTGAGAACCATAAGGAGAGGTGACTGGTGGTGTCAGCTCTCAGTATGTCTGACTGCAGAGTCGCACTGAATAAGTGTATGGAGCACATGGGAAATCAGATGCAACTGGCAGAAGTGTATTGAAGGAAATGGCTTACAGAGGAGTGGGGCTTTTTCATCCTGTTGTCCTCAGTAGCAGCACTGTTAAAGTTTACGTTCTGCCTTGGAAATACTTTTTGCAACCAGAGAAAAATGTTACACTTTTTCGGGGGATTATGAAGTGTGTGGTTAGACAGTTATGGGAAATGGCACATGTGCAGAATAACAACAACCACTGTGACTCGCCTGTGTTTGCAGATCTAATTATTGCAGAACACCACACAGAGGGCATGAAGAAGTATGTCATCTTATACCCCCTTCCCATTATCTGTAAATAGAAGTCATTAAACTGCGATTAGCATCAAATTAATACTCTTCCAGCCCTCTAATCCACACCCTCAACCAATGGGATATGGAAATTAATTTCTTCAATATAGAGTTAACACAGAAGTCAGCCTTGAAAATTCTATGATGACGTGATTTAGTAAATTCCACAGTAGAAATGCACAAAGCTTTGGGGAAATAAATATGAAGAGATGTAAATTAATTCTTTCCATCCATGAATGGTCTTTATTGAAAACAATGTGAGAAACAGCCTGAGAAGTGCAATGCTATACAGTGTTGTTAGTACTTCAGTAGGTGCTGATGCAAAAGGGTCATTCCATGGAAACTGTTCAATTAAATAATCCTGGTACAGTTTATATATATTTAACAGTTTTCTGTTAAACTATAGTCATTTTCTCACGTTTGTTCTGACCATTGTTTCACATTCATGTGCAGTAATATCTGATTTGGTATTGGTACATTTGTCTTTCGAAACCTTCTCTGTCAAGAAAAACATATCCACCCCGTCACTCAAGTTACATGGGCAAAACAGTTGTTTTATGAAATTTTCAAAATAAAAACAAGAACATTTCATTTAGCTGCAGGTGCCAGGGAACAAACCAACTTTGAAATCTTGATATAACGGGTAAATAAATAAATGAATAAAGGCAAATGATAAGGTTCCGTTGGTTTGCAAACATGTTTTTTTTTGGGGGGGGGGGTCTAACATATCTTTCATGCTATGAAATAGAAATTTTTCTTTGGTTTTGATAAGAAAGAAATCTGGTCCAATCTGTACAGTTTCCATGGACTCACTCAAAAACTAATATGAAGACAAAGGTCAAATGTAAAACAAACGCATACTTACTGGAAAAACCAATACACTCAACCCATTTATTATGAGATTAAAATCAACATTAGAAACAAATGAATCCTTTTTTTATATTTGTATAAAAAATAGAGCCCATATGTCTATATTTATGTCTCCTTTTCCTTTACTTGAATGATTTAAATGTCAAAGCAGTAATTAACCTTTTTTGTCTGTCTGT